AACCCCCCCCCCCCCTTTCTCTTAAATCAACCTCAAGCTCACTGCCGCCATCCAATCAACAACCGATGGATAGAACCAAGACCCTGCCATACATTTTATTATTTTCTATAATCCGTTTTACTCCGATGCATATCACAATACGGAAGAAAATATCTGTCGCTACTCCCACAACAGAAACCACAACTGAAGAAACAATAGTACCTTGTATTCTGGATTGGTGACCATGGGCGGTTCCCACTCCCCATCCATCTCATCGTCCCAGTCATCAGGCTTCTTGGCATCAGGATCAGGGATGTTCTCGGGTTTGTCCCAGTCCTACAGAAGCATACAGACCAAGATGATATTAGCAAGGAATATATAATTTTATACTTTATATTGGAACGGCTGTTGTTAAGATACAGGAAATCCAGGGCATGCACTAATTTACTTGGTGATCTGTGCATATTTACCCCAAATAGTGGCTTAAAAGTGAATCTGTTTTGTGACCAGCAAGAGAAAGAATCTGTTTGGTTTCTGGACAAACAACAAGGACACTGTCCTTACCTCTGGTTTCTTGTCATCAGGGTCATCGATCTTCTCCCTCTCATCCCAGTCCTCAGGCTTTTTCGCTTCTGGATCTTTTATCTTTTTGGGAGGCAGGAAGTCCCAGTCTTCTTCCAAAGATCCAGACTCTACCTTCTTATTATCAAGCTTGACTTCATAAGTGTTGTCAAGATTGACAATTAACGTGTACAGGTGGGTGTATTCATCATCCTGGATGATAAAATACATGGTATATGAGCTTGGAGGACTGGTGCCATGGAGCATCATGGGACAAAAAAGAAATACATGAACAATAGGATTACCTTGGCTCTAATGTCTTTGTTGATCAAATGATTTTTGCCTTTATAATTGAAGATTACATGTACTTTCTTGGTTCCAGGGCCACAGATGTCAGGACCTGGAAGAGACAAAACAAGTTAAATCATCTTGTGTGTCCAAAAGCACAAAATGTTTAAAATGTTCATCAATGAAGTGGTTATTAAGATAATCACCAAACATGATATTATATGTGGAGTCTCCATGCATATCTTCCTGTTTGAGGTCTGATGGGAAAAGTTTGATGTAGCCTCCACCACAGTCAATGCTCTGCTCGTGTTTTACAGTGAACTGGATCACGAGGGGCTGATCCTTGTTGCTGAAATCAGCAAAGCGGGATGACAGCGCGTAGAAATGAGCATCCTGACTGGTCTGAAGACCTGCAAGTTCACAGTGAGATATCCAAGTAACTTTTAAAGTTATTAAAATCCCCATAGAAATTATCTAATGAGTAGGACTTTAACTGTTGATAGATTGTTTTAATAATTGATTAAACGTTTGA